CCACGCTTCCGGCACTTGTCTGAAAGCGAGCACAGTATTCATTAGTTATCGCTGTTTTGTCATGTGTGTTCAGACTGCCGAGATGGCTCAATCGTTATAGCATGAGTTTATTAACCGGAAGGCCCGTGGTTCGAACCCGACCTCTGCCTCTCGACTTCCATTGTCTAGCCTTAGGCAACGTGGCAGTATCCCAGCCCTCGTGCTTCCATCAGGTAGCATGGCAGCTAGGTACCGACTATCTTATCTTGTTTATGACCGATAATTCGCAACCTTCTACTCACCGCCTGGAGGTAACGCTTCTTTCTCCATTCTTTCTCTGCTACGACGATAATTGCTCCGCTAAACTCGCTTTCCACCTCCACGATTGTTCATTCTACCGATCTGCTAACGCTTCTCTAGTCATGTGTATCAATTTTCGTTTCAAACAGCTATCTTTATCATCGTTCCCCCCATTTTGGACTTTTCTCCACTTGCTGTTCTGATTCTTTTTTAAGACTCCAGATAGCAACTCTCTCTCTCCAAACCTTGACACGCTACCGTTGTGAACTATCAATTTCCTTGTATTAGCGTTGTTTATATTTTGTTGATTGTTTCATCCTTCTTACCACTTTGACGTCTGTTCTTTTCACGCTGATGTCTAGCTCTACATCATTTTGTTCCTTGTGAGCCACTGTTCTGAATAGTCAGAAAAAGAAGGCGACCAAAGGGGTATCTGTTACTAACCACTCCGGGTCGAGGTTCGCCAATAGCACAGATAGCCGGATGCTCGCTGCAGCGTCTGCTTAAGGAGCTTCACTTTGTTTTCCCACTACTTAATCCTATTGGTTGATTTTCGTAAAGAAACCAATAATCGCTAAGCCGCACCCTTGGAATCCGAACCAGCGTTTGTGGTAAGAACCCGGTCAGCACTACACTTCATCCATATTCATCAGCTAAGCATCACTCAGGGACCCATCGGCCATTAGTCATATCCATTATCTCTTTACCTGTCCATATTCCTCAACAAGCTGAGAAAAAACGGTCCTGATTCATCATCAATTTAAAACAGTCGGTCAACTCGCCCCATTCTCAAAACGTTAAGCACTTCTTGTACGATTGTTTTTTTTTACTGTAGCTCTCTGGTTTGCAAGAATTCTTGACAAAACTCGAACAGAATATGGAGACCACCAAAGAGTGCTTTTTCACTGTCTATCATTTGGTCAAGTCGAGTATCGAACAAAATATGGTAAGTGATGGTTCATTCCCGGAGTAGCTTATCTTGTCCTACGGAGCTGAATTCAGTGCATAGATTGCTGTCTGTCACTCTTAGGACCAATGGCACTAGTCAACCACTGAGAGACCACTTTAATGTCTGGATTGACGGCTATTTCAATGTGAATGCTAGAGGGTTGTGGTCACCCAAACTCCCCATTATTAGCTTCTCATGAGGATGTTCAAAAAGTGGACTAACGTGGACGGGCTACCAATGGAAGACATATTTCTACGTAGTAAGGGTGTATGCAGTGCTTTAACGTAGAATAGTAAAATTGCCATACTGTCACCGTCAGATGACGTAGTCAGATTGCCTTCTTTTCTGTTCTTAAATGTTCTTTTACACGATACTTAGCTTGACCGACTCAGTTTGTTTGTAAACAGGATATTCTCTCCGGCAAGGATTTTAACTTGCTTTCTCGCTAGATGATATATCGTCTTGATTGAGGTGACGGACATAGGGCATCTCCCACCTTTTCTGCATCTAGATACCCAAAAGCTCAGTGCCTTTGGATCGCTTCAGCGACAGATGTCAGGGTGTGATGAGATTAGTCACTTCACATGCATCTGCCATATCAATGGTTAGAGACATTGTCAGACATGTCCCAGTCGCGCCCTCAATGGCGCTCATACATCCAAGCTATTGCCTCCAATGCGTAGCTCCCTTCCCAACCCCCCCATTTAACAGTCCACCTACAGTGCTGTATTTACGCACCAATTTGTCAGCTCCCGCCTTCAATGCGTAGCTACCTACCCTACCTCCCCGAAACATCGGTGAACGGAATTGTGGCAGCTACAACCATTGTACGACAAGTATGCGGTTATTACATCTGACTACACTAAGTTCTTTTGTTGAGGTCTGGGATACGAGGTTTTACAGCAAAATTGGGGCCTGGCCATTAACCGAGGTTGATACCGAATTAAATCAAGTTTATGCAAGCCTGTGGGTTGGACCCATTTAGAGCCGCCAGTTAGTTGTTCTTCATCCTTCCACTTATCGATTAGTTCGATCTCCCCGTCTAGCAGTTCAAAGTTAGCCCTCTTCCCTAACTGAACCTAGTTTCACCTGTTGGTGGTTCCCATTCGCTTTCCCACAGGCTAACGGTTCGCTTTGTGAAGCTCCGGAAGATGAAGACGATGATTTGCAGCCTCCGCACAGAAATACAACTACAGATCAAACAGGTGGGTGAACCTTTGTTTCGAATCGTTCTCCGTAGGCGCGCACACAGAATGCGAAAGACTAAGATGCCTCTATTATGGAATAACTACCATCTCAAACAAACATATTTCCTTGTTTTGCTTCTCTGAGCGTTAGGTCCACGAGAATGCTACCGCTCCGTACCGCGTATTCGAGTGTTGTACGTGAGTGAAGTCATTTCGACGTCGTGGAATAACAGTACGGATAACTATGTTTATAGATTTTGGAGAATCTAAGGGGACAGTTCAGTGATCCCTCTGAACAATTTCCACTTCTACGCTGTCGGCCTTCTGTCACCCACGAACTAGTGTGCTACCCTCTTTGAAGAAAGACTACTTGATTGACGGCCTCTCCAGGCGCTGAATTACTCTACATTGGAAAACGGTAGAAAAGAGAGGATAAAACCTCCAACTTGTTGAGCCGGTTGGCCATGAGAAAATCCCGTGTACCTCAGAGAAGGACGGTTGCTTAAGACTTTCGGCCATAGAAGTGGGATCCTGAGACATATGATTGGATTTTGTTCGAGTATGTTAGCTTTGGACCCCATTCGAGATGCAGTCTTGATGTTTCAGAAGGCTGTGAATTTAGGGAGCAGGCGATGAACGAGGAAAATTCTTCCGCTTTCGGAATACTCGTCAGAATTTGCTACCTTCCAAAATTGATTCAGACAAAGCCGGACAAAGCAGGTTTATAACATTTGTTGCTAAAGTGTGGCATCCCCATTAGATATGGGCGTGTCGCCCTATCTTTCCGATAATAGTCTGCTTCACATGCCACATGATAATCTTTCTTTCTCACGATGACTGTGGGGCTGTTCCCGTCGGAATCAAGGTGTCCAATTGCTATCACGGTAAAGCCTGTCCCGAAAGTTGGATTACTGGATTTATCTCCCAGAAATATGCCTTACTACCGGGTTGTAGGCAGGACCGAATTCTGATTTGCTGTTTTCCCTTTATTATGGACAAAATAATATGATGCAAAACGTTAGTTCCTCCAATGTTTTTATTTATTTATTCTTGAGCACATAGGAATTTGAGAGCTTGTGGTGGCTCAGGGCACGATCTTACGACGATGTTGCCAGCGGCCCAAACCTCTACTTTCCCGTGGTGTAGGCATGCTGTACTGTAGGTCAGGCCTAATGTCCTTTCATGGCACATTGAATTCCTGCCCCAAAGGCGGTTAAACTCTAGGCCAGATGGCAAAAACAAAAAAAGATGGGTTTGGAATATTTTGGGATTATTTCTGGACCGGACTGGTTGGAGGTGTGGTTAATCGGGTCCTGAAATAGGAACACGTCTGTCTTGTGAATACATCGATCCGATGGGCACTGCTTCCGTTTGCTTTGTGTTCCATAGGTATTTTTGGTTAGCTTTTTCCATCAGCCAGTTCGCACTCCGAGTGCATGAAATCATGTGATTTTCTGGTCAATAGATGACGAATACTATCGAAAATCAAATCAAGAAGTCGTAAAAATATCACTTTGATCAGCTAGCACAACAGCGCTGAAAATTGAGACATGGTCACGGCAAAATTACCGGAGCATCCTATGATACCACCTCGTCGTGAGTGATTTCCCTTGATTCACTTCGACATACTTTTAATGGGTGCACGGACGGCGTTTTGACGGGTAATTTAGTACTCCCGTTTCAAAGCTCTGTCACTGATAGTATGCCCCACAATGCCTCTTTCCAGTGGAAATCAGAGGTGCAAGTTGACCAGTCAAACAACTTCATGAGATGGGACAGAAGATGATACGAGAAGCATGAATCAGTGCGTTGTCTTGTTCCATTTTTTTCATCCCAGTGGCAGTATTAAGAGTTTTAGTCACTTAATATTGCTGAGTTTCTCATTTCGTGTGGTTATAAAGCTGCGGACTCCAGTTCGAGCGCACCACACTTGTTTATGAAACGCTCAAATCGGCAACATGTACGGGCTATCAGGAGACAGATGGCCTCATACTGATTGCCTTTTTATCTGTGAATGAATACCCGAAGACGGGTCTCCAAGAGTCAGCGGCCAGGCTGTCATCAGTAGTCTATATCTATGAACCATATGCACAGAAGTGTCGCACGCTTGAAACCTCATCATCATCATTATCGACAGCCTGACATCCGTGTTCAACACCAATGCTTCACTGCCGTACAATCATGATATATTTGAAAGCCTTATTATAAAAAAAAGAGGAAAGGTGGACGGGGAAGGGACTTAGTGCTAGCTTACCACAATCATTCCGAGGTGCCTATACCTCCAGACACTCACTCAGGCGATCTGGATAGAAACTGATAAGAACCCCACTGACATCGGTTGGCAGCCATATATTGTAGCGTCTTCAACCAGACACAGTGAGGATCACGCGGTCCCTATCCTGGAAGACGAGTAGCACCGACAGCACCCAGGCGTTTCGTGATATCCTTTATACTCCTCTTTAAGTCAAGGGCTGGCCATTTCCCTGTTTACGCCACCCTGAATTGGGCATGGAAAACAGCGCTCTCTTCGGCAAACGATGGTTCGGCATACGTAGCACATGTCCTAACCAACACAGCTTCTAGTGCTGGACACATTCTTCTATGAAAGCGCCCGTTGCACAACCGAAAACGCGCTTTCTAACTGCTTCATTACGGACTCGCCGACACCTGTACAGAAGGAATTAGTTACAGTCTTGAAGCGCTGGTTTAGGAATTTCGCTCATTTTAGAAGCGCACCAAATCCGTTATGGGAAATTACTCCTGGGGCTATATCGCGGACATTGGAGTGCTCGCTGTCAAGAGCTGTTTCAACCAGCTAGCGCAGTGATTCGTGCCTCTCACCCTGTCCGCACCTGGCTCCTGTCCTTTCTCGGGGAAACATCGGACCGGCCGACGTTGGGATCAAATTCTCGCGTGATTATCAAAAAAGAGTTCAATAAGTCAATCTTGAATGACCACCCTCAAACTGCTTGGTCGCATTTTCTAAACGGAAATTCAGCAGAGTCCGTCAAAATGTCATGCGTTCACTTAATCAAGATACTATGGAGTGACTGATTGGGCGAAATGTCCACGAAGGAATCACAGAAACTTTTGCCGGTGGTAAGCCACACGGGATGTTCCTCCAGTTTTACCGCGTCCAGTTTCCCACTTTTATTCGTCAGAGTAAAACTCGCAAGTTCTGGGTTTGATTTCTGGCAATATCTATCGTCTGCTCACCCAAATGCGCTTACTTTCGTCCAGTAGGTGTGAAGCCATGTTGAATGAGTGGTCCCGTAATTTTGTATATACTCTGGTCAGTAGTTCATTGTGATTACAACTGATGAATTGGTTTTCGAGTTCCGTCTTTCAGTGAATGCTGCTCCCCATTTTCTTCAAAAAAGCTAGCAACATAAACCGTTGTTGATTCAGCCGGTTCAGTTCGGGAAATCCTGATTTCGATCGCCTTTCGGTGATGCTGAATTAAAGGCAATTACGACAATGAACCCACTCCAGTTGAGGGTGATCAAGTTTTTGTCCCAATCGCTGTTCATTTTGAATCGCTTCGACTACAAGAATGTTAAATGCATCCTGTATCCTAGGTACTCAATTTCGGCAAAGTTCAAAACTTCGAAACCTCAATCACGTGAGATGAGAAATTCACATGAGTTGTGTGAATTAAAGTGTTGGTTGTTTGGATAAATAATCACAACTTTAGTTCATTTCTATGAGACCCAGCTGGCGGGAACGCTTCCCCAATATGACTCAGTAGTTAAACTCGCTCGTTAGCTGCATAGACGTAGATTCAAACACGCTTCAGCGCACTGAAGCTCTCCAGTGCGCGTTTGTTTCTCACAGTGACTCCATATTTCTCGATTGCTTTCAGAGCTGACCAATACTCAGACAGTCGTACCAAGCTATGAGGAATCGCTGGAGGCCCAAAAAGCTCATTTGGCAGCGCTTCAAGCTCAGACAATGACGGAGCGTGAAGAAATAGGACGGTTGCTAAAACAGCGTGATGAGTTAGCTGAACGGCTTCGGACACTTAGGGCTGGTAAGTTTTGATTTAATAGAAAGTGGCGTGAGCAAGCACCACTTTACTTTTTATCAGTGAACATGTTATACTTTTGTCGACCTGTCGCTCATGTTAAGCGTCAATGGAGCTGAATACGTTTTTTGGACTACCTTCGCGTGATTAAACTTCACCCAGTGTACTGAAGCATGCCAGACAGTACATCTCCACAAGTTGATGTCACGTTAAATGTGGGACTTAATTTAGCACTATCTCGATAAATCTGAGACCAATTGATCAACAGAATAAGGGTATCGAAGCCCAGCGCAAACCAAGTCTGACACACCACATTGTGTGCGGGTATCCCACGGCGTAGTACGATGTGACAGAGCAATCCGGAAATAGATACCGGTCTACTGTCCTGAGGTAGCTAAAGTAGTTAGAGCGCAAATTTACTGACCGGAAGGTCCGTGGTTCGAACCCGACCTCTGCCTCTCGACTTCCTCTGTCTGTGCTTGGGCAACCTGGCAGTATTCCAGCCCTTGTGCTTCCTTCGGGTAGCATGGCAGTTAGGCACCGAAAGGGTGTTACAGCTGAACGAAATTGAAAGTCACTCTTGTCCTGCAAAGTGCCCATTGTGCTCAACACGTCGACTCATTCAATCCCATGTCCCATTTTTACCCGCCCATATTCTAGTCCAGCGTGAGATTGTTGTCGCTATTATTTTTCTACCATTCAAGTGAACTGTTGTAACATTCCTACCGAGCTTTTTTGTGGGTTGGGAGGGAAACCCGAAACGACCCTCATTCACTATTGTTGTGCTCGTTAGCAACCGTTCTTCTCTATTCTCCCAGACAGATTATTTCTGTTTACTCAGTGTTCCATCAACTCTTCGCCTTTTCTTACGTACTACCAGCCGCTCTGTCAGCTAGCCAGGCTGTGGACCAAGAAGTAAACGAGTCTGGCGAACAAACAGTTACTGAACGTACTACGGAACCCGCTCAGCCCACAGCCCCGGCTGCTTTGCCTGATGCGGAGCCGGAAATCGACGGGTAAGTGCTTCCGTATCCTTTCGACAAGCAATGCTGTATCCGTCCGCTGTCAATCGGACAGTGATTGTCGTCGGCTACTTGCAAAGAAGCTTGTTTGGTCATATAATCACTAGCTTACTTAGGCTGCTTGCTTAGGCGCATGCCCTCCCTTATAGTTTGAGGACGTTCGAAATGTGTCATTAGTTTTTTGTCTTTTGTAAATCTATTGTTACAATTGCTATATTACAGCTGTGGCATTGTATTGTAAAGCGAGGTAGTTTAGCAGCATTTTAAAAGCCGCGAGACACGCATGTCGGTTGAGATCACTGCGAGGTTGGATTCAATTTTACTAGTCTCTTAGGACCGCAACAAGCGCTTCCATGCTTGTGGAGTTTGTGTATTGCGTTTCGTCCCATGCGATACCCGATAGACCAGCGCATGTTGCTTAGAGAACTATTAAGTTGCATATTCTCTTTTGACCCGTTCAACAACCTCCCTGTGGTAGGTTCCCACTACTCGGGAGTGGACATGTGGAATCGCGGAGCTCCTGTTTTGCCTTATTGGAAGTCTTGGGTGCCGAACCGTCCTCAGTTGTTTCGATAGAATTGATGTGACCAAACTTAGGTTCAATCTACTGTTTTGACCGACTGATAAGAATTCGATATTGGCTAAGAACCAATGCAGAAACAGTACGGCAAATGCTGTAATCAGAATTGCTACCTCCTGGCGTCTCGTAAACACTCATCTCATATGTCGGTTCATCTGCGCCTGCAGGTCTTCGTAGAATGCCTATAACCTATAGTTTCGTTTGGCAACGTCTCTGTGTGTGTATGATCCTTGCTGGATACCCGATTCTCGCATCACTCGAAGTAGCTGTTCGCAAGCGATAGACTCCACATGATTTGTCCCTGTTCGATCAAACCAGTTGTGCATCTGGCTCAGTACTTCTACCTTTCGATGAAACCTCGTTTGGGGGGGACTAAATAGAGAAAACCATCGGGGCTCTTCTCAGTGGCTTCCTGCACTTTGCCATCTTACTGATCGGGCTTGGCTGTACCTTGTTCAACGGCACATCCACAAACTAAGGTTGAGTGGTCTTACAATGTCTTTCAGAGAAAAACTCGGATTCTTCTAGATCGCCGATTTTTATATCGGACGAGGATAGTGTCACTTTTTCAGTTTGATCATAAGGGCCATCTACACTGCCTACTTTACTTCGGCTGTCACCGGTTTGAGGATGCCCTGAGTTCTTGGTTCTGACCAAGCAAGGTGACCGACTACAAGGCTCTCACAGATTCGATCCCGTTCTGGTTCTGGTGGCGTAGACCATAAAAATCCAGCATATGAAGGCATTGAACGTCATAGTCAGCAGCGTCAATCCAATCCGCGATATGCACTTATTTTCGGACTAATTTTGCTTTGACGGGTGACTCAACTGAATCCCAGCCAAATCTCTCGTCTATGATGCCCTTCATCTGAATGTCAACTGTACAACGTAGATGATAGTTGATTCACCGCAGCATCGACTTTCTCTTCGTATGGTGCGAAGTCGCCTTCTTCAAACCTTTATACCCCAAGGCATTTAGGATGTCGCGCAAATGATCCAGTAATGTCATTGTCCCTAGTTTAAATTTTCAGTAAATACTCTGTAAACACCTTGTCAAGTCCAAATTAGGTAAGGGGTGAAGCATGTCCGATCGCACCTATTCATCAAGTTTTGGATCGGTTATTTGTTTGCACTGTCGGGTGTGCCCTTCTACTTATAAGTGAGTATGTGGATGTCTCGCCTTTGAATCCCGTTCCACAATGTGCTAACGTTTTCATCCTTTCCCAGTTCCTCTCTCGAAACGTTGGGTCTTAGCCCTATAATGTTAGCTCAGCTCGAGGCAAAGAGACGCGAGCTTTCGGACTTGCGAGCTCAGTTAGCCCTCCTTCGCAAAGCTGAACAACAAATGGCTTCGCTCACTACCTCAAGTTTGGCCATACTGGATGACAATGAGGATGACGTTGAAAAATTGAATGATCCTAATTCCCGCCGTGAACGTTCTAATCGTCCGTCTCCATCGCCTGTCCCGTATGCTGTGCGGAGGGCTTCGAAGCATTCTGAAGTTGCCGTAACTGCTGCTGGTCCTGCGGCTGTATCCGTCCCACAGAAGTTAGACACGGTTACCTTTCAGGTTAGTTTTCGTATTGCATTTTTGTTTCGCTGCCGTCACTTAAACATTTATAACCTTTCCGGTTGAAAGGTAGGTTTTTAAAAGGCGGATGCTCCGCGTTAATTAGGACAAGTTCTTCGGTCGTTATTCTGTCTAAATACCTGCGCCGAACAGATAGAGCTGTGGAACTTCTAGTCTTAACTGTGCACTATTCCCACCGCGTGAAGGACCTTAATGGAACGACTTTGTAACGTGGATTTTTTCAACACTAGTCCGGAGGATGCGGGCCAATGAATCAAATACGAGGCATGCTCTTGAGAAATACACTCATTTGCAAATCAATTTAGTTTTCACGGGAGACTCAATTGAATCTCTCGTTTACGATGTCCTCCAGCTGAATGTGCTGCACACAGGCCGCCTCACGATTCAGTTGGCACGATATTCGAGATATCGCAGTATATTTTCATAAAGGAAACTCCTCGCGAGGTTGCTGAAAACTCTTCGGCATGCTCGTTCTTTCACATTTCACTGTTATTCATCCCCCTGTGCCCCCCACCATTCCAAACGCCCAACCGCTCTCTATCTGAGTAGACCCCGGTTCGTCAAAAATGGTAGTGCAAATCTGCCCACTAACTCTGCTTATTAAGGAGTGAATCCTAAGCTTAGTAGTTAACCTGTAGCAATTTGGGACCCGATGGGGCCGATCCCAACCGGAGCTTTGCGTCGGCTGTCGCTGAGCCAAGTGATTTGACAAAGCACAGCTGAGTACCATTCTCAACCCGTTTTTTAATGCTCATGACTTACTAGTCAGATTGTCACTGGTTTACAAATCCAGTCATTGTCCCAAACATGGATACCAGATGACTGATGGGTGCGTCTTGTTAACATCTGACCATGGCTGATTGGTGAGGTCTGGTTAGAAAATCTCACCTCTTCTTTATAACACCCTAACAGTGTGCTCTTCTGTAGATTCTTTGTTTTTATGAGCTGTTGATGAGTTCGACCTTCCAGCATTCCGCATATGCACGACACATCTATGCTGTACCTTGTCGAGTACGCACTTCACGTGACAATTTACGGTAGCTGTTGAGTGCGACAGTGAGATTGATTCATTTCCATCCGTAAGAGAGCATTTTTATCAATCTGGTGCTTTTCTAATCCCTCTGCATTATTCTCCTAGAAGGACAACACACTCCTCATTTTTACATTGGTTGTACAACTAGTGCGGACCTAGGTTGGTGGATTAATGGAGGAATTATTTGGGGTTACATTGCTGTGGTTGCAAACTCCTGCACTCGGTCGTCCTTGTGTCAGTGACTCATTGCTCGCACAAATTATACTGCGCGCATGAATTCTCTTTCATTTTCTGCATCATTACAATGATATGTTTGCCTCAAAACGATCTTTGAGTATCCTTTCTCTCACGGATTTTACTCTGGTTAGGCCACGTGCTTTGTATGCCAGAGAATCATTTACCTCCTGGGGCACTTTTCGCCCAACCGTGTATCGGTCGGAGACAACCCGGGGGTGGTCAGTTCATGACTTGGCAACGGATCTTGAAACCCTTAACCAGTCGACTGAGTGGCCTTGGTAACTGTCGTCTCCCCGGACGGGGATTGTGGGACGAGATAAGTCAATGGTCAGCGACTCTGACAGACATGGCCGTTACACAGTCAAGGACGGTGTTGTATCAAAGCTCTCGCCTTCACCGTTGAATCTCACTTCCTGGCATGCGGGACGAGCAGATCCGTTTGTCGTCAGTGCACAGATTGAACCATCACTTTCAAAGCGTTATTCGTACTCTTTTATTCTACTTATCCTCGACGAAAGGAACTATAGGGGCTGGAGCACGGCTTGAGTTAAGAAAACTTAACTTAATCTATCATAGTTCAATATGTTTGGGTTCCCAATCGAGCAAGCGCCTTGGTGAATGTAAACTAAAGTTGCCGCCCGAAGGCATATGAATTGTAATCTATATTTAATCGACACAATAATATCTCATACGAACTTGTTCCCTTCAGCAACCGGAAGTTACGGACAACACCGAGCTCCTATACGAGAACATACGTGAGGCACGGATTCGTTTGGAAGCGGAGCGCGGCAAATCCAGCCCCGCGGTCGATGGAGCAGAAACTACAAAACATTTGATCTCTGCAGCTGTGGGAACCGGCAGAGCTTCTATTGCAGCTAGCCACGATCTTACCACGCTGGCAACTTGGGGTGGGTCATCTCTCGTAGCGTCTTCATCAGCTGGTTCACCTGCCCCCCAAGCGGAAGAAGACGAACGTACCTGTTCCTCACATACCATCCCACGGAGTAGGAATTGCTTGATTTTCATGTTCTATTACTTGCACATTTAGTCATGCAATCCATCTATATGGTTGGCCACAGGGATAGCTCCTTCCTTCAAGTCCACTTAATAAATAATAATGATCGTCCAGCTGTAGCGCCCTTTTGGTGCCTAGCTGCCATGCCACCCGAAGGAAGCATGAGGGCTGGGATACTATCAGGTTGCCCAAGCCTAGACAGGGGAAGTCGAGAGGCAGAGGTCGGGTTCGAACCACGGACCTTTCGGTCAGCAAATTCGCGCTCTAACCACTTGAGCCATCTCGCCCCCCAAGTCCACTTACTCATTCTGTATCTTACGGTAACTTGCTCGAACGATGTACCCACTATATATTTTATACTGTGCTCTCTTTTTGCACCCATTCAAGTCAACGTCTTCGAACTAGTGCATAGAATCTTACAGTTTTCCTGCTAGTAGTTACGTGCCGTCTCAGTTCGGAGGTTTGTTCAACAGTTGTTTCCTTGTTAGGATGCAGGAGAGAGCTTAGTGCCCTCGGCCTATGGCTGTTAAGTGGTCCATTTTAGTCGGTGCATTCAGATGGTCTCTGGAAGGAGATACCTCCCTTTCTTCCTCCCTCTCTGTCGCTATATATATACATATATATATATATATGTTTTCCATGCTATTTATTTTTTCCCTTTCATTCATGGCCCTTTGCAAACAGATGGTGCATCCCGTCATTCATTCGTGCGACTTGCCCTTTATATTCGTCAGAGCTGCCAAACAGACAACAATGCCGTTTTACCGACACGCTTAATTCATGGTAGCAACATTTTCGATCGCTTACATTTTTTAGCCTCGACAAACATTTCTCCTATGAGACCATAGAGACTAATGAAGTTTGCGTCTCGTAAATGCACCGTACGTTCAGACTCCGTGTGTCATCTAATCTATAGGTGACTACCGCCAAATCCAATCAATTCCTTATCGATCTATTGGCTCCCTTTCCACGTAGAATATCCGCCCAATGAGTTGCCGGTTGCGTCTTGCGCTAATAAAGCTATCTCGGCCAACATTGGGCGATGCAGTGATCCTCATTTTAGTAAAGGCCGACATCACGCTCAGAAACTTTTCCGCTCGTCCTCACTGCACCGGTTCTCCTTTAGGTATCCTCTCTCGGATGGGGTATCGGTCGTACGTATTCCGAATTTCTACCCTCCATATAGCTGTCATGAAACACGCGATCACAATGGTCCTTCTGCCGTCAAGGCCAATCATCTTCATTGGAATTGGGACGCGCGTACTAGTGATGTGTCAACACTAATTATCTCGCGAATCCATCCTATCCGCGATCAACAGTCAGAACCGTATATGGCGTTAATCATTTCCGGCTCTGATGCCGAAGATTGGGGTGTTAGACATTACCACGACTGACTAGAGTCCCAGTTTCCAACTGAAGCCCCAGATTGCAGTACGAACCTGCGCAGGGTGTTGGTGCCACCGAACGTTGGCCAGTTCGCTATCGGATTATATGTAGAACGTGTCTCAACCAACTGGAACGCTGGCACAAGTCCCGAAAGATGCCCTTCTTCGTGTAGCGTGGCCCGCGAGTTCATAGACCAGACAAAATATCTTATCAACTGCGGATAACATCTATCGTAACAAAACTGGACCTTATCGTGCTTCGATCCATGGAGCTATACTCGGGAGGTTTTACTTTGATACCTGCGGAATTTTTCGTGCCATGCTGGTCATAGGGTCGATGTCTAACGAATGTGGTGTCCTGGTGCTACGAGCTGTGTGTTGGAACATGTGTAGCGATTTGTTCCTTCGAAACTTCCATCGTTACTGTAGTATACCGTTAGCTGCTCGCTGCCCAGTGGTCAGGTTTTTGAGCCAAAGGCTTTGATTGAGAATCTCAGTAGATTTTTTGTCTAGTTTTTGAACGCCCAGACAGCAACTCAATCCACCTACAACACTGAACTTCGCGACCAAGAACACTGTCACGCCACATCAGTCGCCGTGTGTTGCTATAGGCTGGATTGCCCTATCTGCCACGTACAGCAGGACAGGTAAACTACGAGGTACTGCTGTTGACGCCTCCCCTTTACAATTTCGCGTCTTTTTTCTTCCTGCTCTACTTCGTTGTCGCCACTGTAGACCGAGCACTAAGACAGACAACCTTGTTCGCCGTTACGGCCACCTTCACGCGTTCGTCTTCAGTAACTGCGTTGGGCACTTCGAAGTTGCTTTTCAATATCCGGAAGCCGGTCCCCATTTCCTCTGTTATTTTGTGAATTCTGAAGCAAGAATGGTAAGAAAACACTTTATCGTCCACTGGGTCCTCCCTACACTGGCGTATACTACTTGTCTGTAACAAGAATCTAGGACTCAATCACTGTAATTGAACTGATTGCTCTGTTTCCTGTTTCCCGCTTTCGTCTGCGAATACCTGGTAGCGTAAAGATCTCTGCGGCTAGAAACACATGGCTCAATATTGCGTTAAACCATATAGCGCAAGCATCTTTACTTATCTGAATAGTGTTGGATGTTCGCCTCTACACGATCCGTTCTACAACTTCTGCAAAAGACCACCGAGAAGCGATAAACACTCATTTACAAAAAAGTTGGATTGGAGTCGGGGGCATTATTCAATGCCGGGTAAAACTGGGCATACCCACAAACCAGAAATCCTGGTGGATCCAGAAAGCCAAAAAAGAAACGAAAAATGCCGGAACTATCCACTGGTTGTTCCGCTCGACTCGTTCTACGGGTCCTTTGAAGCTTCATTTCAGTGAAACCACTAAGCACCACAGCGGACCTCTGATATCCAGCATAGAAGAATGCTTTGTAGAGTATTTTGAACGACTATTCAGTTGGCCACCTGTTAAGTCCCTTCAAGACAGTCGGTCTTTGACGAAAACGTTGACTGTGTGTGTGGAACCGTGTGGATATACACCCTTACGCAAACGTTACCTGGTTGCTTGTCTCGATAGCCTTTTCTGCTCTTCTCAAGATTAATTTCTCAGCCAGTGCCTATCCAATGTACCCGCGTTGATTCTGGAGAAAAGAGCCATCCAACACACACACACACATCAACAAATAACAATCTCCAAAAAGGATACCTGCAATGAATTTAGTGAAGACAGAAGCATCAGTTTGGCTCACTTAGCAGCGGGCTGTTTTGATTCTCTGATTGTTTGTCGTCTCAAGGCGGTACATGAGTCCATGACCCGCGGACGGGATTTCAACCCGACAGGGGCTACATCAATCACATCTTCACACTCCGTCAGATGTTGGACTAGCGCCTTAGTTGTGGATGACCCATAATCCTGGCCTGGACTTCAAGCGTGCGTTTGACTGTGTCAGTCCATGAATGCTTTTAAACACTCTTGTTCAACGGGACCCCCTCGAAATCCGGCCCTCGTGTTTAATATTTTTGAGCGTCTCTGGGGAGCTTTCGAGAATCCTCCCAGCAAAGGCATTGTCCCATGCGAACGTCCATTGTCTCCATTTTTGTTTAACTTCACCATCGATGAAATAACGGATCGAACGCCGGAAAGCCTTCAGAACTCTAATGTTCAAGTTGTTACCCGTTGTAACCTTGAATATATATATATAACCATATGACTCTACATCAGTGGGGCGTTTGTACAACACTGATGCTGTTGTTTATGACAATAATAGCGAGAAATCCACATTCACCGCCTCTTTTGGAAACTGGATCTAACCCCAAATCTTTGCGTTCCAACGTTCACAGCCTTACGTCAAAAGGAACTGAAGTGTTAAGTAACCGTACCTTGAATTTGTTAGCACTTTATCGTCAAGAAGTCTGATCATCTTCATGTTGCAAATAAAGCTTATGCGGAAACGTGTGAGAATTTTCATAAGAGCTAGTTTATCGTGACGTATTTTTCCGTGCTATTCTCACACTTTCGACCCTTGTTACGTAGTACGTTCTAACCCTATCGCTTTACACAGTGGCGGATGCCTCTCAGCCGAATAGCCGGACCGTCCCTAACCAGGTTTCTCTCCTATCAACGGACACACCAAAATCCACGGTGGACCGTTCCACAATAACCAAGCAAAGCGTCCCATACCCTGATTTATCACCACAGTCTGCTTCCACTGGCCTAGTGAATCATCTTCTACATCCAGAAGATGGCTGCTTGACTATGCCGCAGCTCGGTCGAAGCCCATCACCTCCTAACAGGACTATCTTCGCTGCTGCATCAGCCACCGGCAGTCAGCTCCTATCCGATGAATCCAAATATTTTGTGCCAGTAACTGGAAATGCTGGATTGTCATGCATTCCTCCAAGCGCCATATCTGTGCAGTCTTCAGCGATTGAGGAGCGTAAGTCTTCCAATGTCGTTGATCTGCTAGCCCTATTGCTCCTGTGTGTTTTTTTACCACTTACCAGTGCCTGTTGCAGACAAGGTTCCGTATAATACTGACCAACCTCTGCTCCTCGAATTTCATCCATATCGGTCAGCTGTCTGGTTGCTGTGGCATATCATAACTTTTGCTCGGACTTGTGCCGCATTCAGTTCCAAACTACATCGCTGTTTTCGTCCATTTTTAGGGGAGAAAGTACAAAACAACACAGTTCTGGTTTGTCGTCATGGTTGACAGATAGTTCCGGAACGATCTCGATAATATTGCTGACCTTGAACTCAATAACATGGCGAAGAGTCTGCTAAAGTACAGAAAAGCGTTTGCTTTGTTCATTACCTAATGCGGTGGGTGTTTGAAGCAATAGATTCACAAAATCGATCACGACACAAGCGAGGCAGGCTGACATGCCCGCCGCACAGTGAAAATCAATAGTTGTTAGGATGTTTTCGGTTCAGGTTGGATGCTTTTCCATCTCAGCTTGTGGAAAGTGCGCAACATTACCGGAGAGCTCCCCTAACTGATTAGTCTAAAATCTGCTTTAGAGTGAAGATCGCTACACCCAGTGGACTCTGTCCATGTTTGATGCGTGGATATTGTTCATGATATGGTGGCACACTTCTGATTTTCGTCAGCTCTGCACTCGGAACGAGCAAGCGTACTCGATTTTGTGGTATTTCTACAGGTGTGAATATATGCTGAATAAAGTTGAAGGAACCGGCTTCTCAAAGTTGTGTGCCAGTTCGCACTCGGTTACAGCCCAATTGGCTAAACCTGAGAAGTGCTGGTTATCAGTTAGCAAACTAGTGATTGTACGATTCAGTTGGTTGCTGTATCCTATTTGCTTATGGTTGTAACAGTTGTTCTGATACGAATGAAATGGTAAAATTATCAATATCCCGGCGTTAGCAGTATTATATGATATGACTCTACATCAGTGGGGCGTTTGTACAACACTGATGCTGTTGTTTATGACAATAATAGCGAGAAATCCACATTCACCGCGTCTTTTGGAAACTGGATCTAACCCCAAATCTTTGCGTTCCAACGTTCACAGCCTTACGTCAAAAGGAACTGAAGTGTTAAGTAACCGTACCTTGAATTTGTTAGCACTTTATCGTCAAGAAGTCTGATCATCTTCATGTTGCAAATAAAGCTTATGCGGAAACGTGTGAGAATTTTCATAAGAGCTAGTTTATCGTGACGTATTTTTCCGTGCTATTCTCACACTTTCGACCCTTGTTACGTAGTACGTTCTAACCCTATCGCTTTACACAGTGGCGGATGCCTCTCAGCCGAATAGCCGGACCGTCCCTAACCAGGTTTCTCTCCTATCAACGGACACACCAAAATCCACGGTGGACCGTTCCACAATAACCAAGCAAAGCGTCCCATACCCTGATTTATCACCACAGTCTGCTTCCACTGGCCTAGTGAATCATCTTCTACATCCAGAAGATGGTTGCTTGACTATGCCGCAACTCGGTCGAAGCCCATCACCTCCTAACAGGACTATCTTCGCTGCTGCATCAGCCACCGGCAGTCAGCTCCTATCCGATGAATCCAAATATTTTGTGCCAGTAACTGGAAATGCTGGATTGTCATGCATTCCTCCAAGCGCCATATCTGTGCAGTCTTCAGCGATTGAGGAGCGTAAGTCTTCCAATGTCGTTGATCTGCTAGCCCTATTGCTCCTGTGTGTTTTTTTACCACTTACCAGTGCCTGTTGCAGACAAGGTTCCGTATAATACTGACCAACCTCTGCTCCTCGAATTTCATCCATATCGGTCAGCTGTCTGGTTGCTGTGGCATATCATAACTTTTGCTCGGACTTGTGCCGCATTCAGTTCCAAACTACATCGCTGTTTTCGTCCATTTTTAGGGGAGAAAGTACAAAACAACACAGTTCTGGTTTGTCGTCATGGTTGACAGATAGTTCCAGAACGATCTCGATAATATTGCTGACCTTGAACTCAATAACATGGCGAAGAGTCTGCTAAAGTACAGAAAAGCGTTTGCTTTGTTCATTACCTAATGCGGTGGGTGTTTGAAGCAATAGATTCACAAAATCGATCACGACACAAGCGAGGCAGGCTGACATGCCCGCCGCACAGTGAAAATCAATAGTTGTTAGGATGTTTTCGGTTCAGGTTGGATGCTTTTCCATCTCAGCTTGTGGAAAGTGCGCAACATTACCGGAGAGCTCCCCTAACTGATTAGTCTAAAATCTGCTTTAGAGTGAAGATCGCTACACCCAGTGGACTCTGTCCATGTTTGATGCGTGGATATTGTTCATGATATGGTGGCACACTTCTGATTTTCGTCAGCTCTGCACTCGGAACGAGCAAGCGTACTCGATTTTGTGGTATTTCTACAGGTGTGAATATATGCTGAATAAAGTTGAAGGAACCGGCTTCTCAAAGTTGTGTGCCAGTTCGCACTCGGTTACAGCCCAATTGGCTAAACCTGAGAAGTGCTGGTTATCAGTTAGCAAACTAGTGATTGTACGATTCAGTTGGTTGCTGTATCCTATTTGCTTATGGTTGTAACAGTTGTTCTGATACGAATGAAATGGTAAAATTATCAATATCCCGGCGTTAGCAGTATTGAGCTATGAATATCACTTAAAGTTTGAAGCACTTGTATTAATTTAGTTAGTGAAGTCATTGCCGAAGTCATTGTCTTCATTGCCGCCCGCGGTCGTACTTTCCATAGGTATTTGACCCTTCAGCAGACATTTGGGACTACCGTTGTTGCCATGGCAACATCTACAGGGCGGAATTCTACAGTCGCATGGCCTAGCCGCACACCATACCTGCGGGCGCGTTAAGGTCTGCTGGGAATACTCTCCCAACATGACCAAAAGTGGTGCCCTTCAGGCTTACTGTTTGTCACCTTTTCTCCATAACCTAATAGTGGATTAATTAAGTGAGAAACTTTTGTTGTCTTTCACCCTAATTTTGGACCTTCTTTCCTGGGAAGCCCTTAAATTCATTGAATATTTGGCCAATGTTGCGCTACTTCTTTCAGTTTCCATTCAGATAAGAAACACACCAAATAACCTAAGTGATGTTACCATGCGTTTCGAATTGCGTCTCTCACCCTCAAAGTACGAAGTGCTATTATACGACTGGGCGAGCGCGCCACTAAAACAGGCTATGGTGTCAGAACCAAGTTACTGTCTGATTTCGTTTCCCCATCCTGCTGCATTCGGGGATTAAGGCGACCCGGTCGATGGCATGATTTCTTCTTCCAGGATGGGGACCGCGTGATCCTCGCTGTGCCTGGTTGGAGACACTACAAGATATGGCTGGCACCCGATGTCAGTGGCGTTCTTGTTGTCAGTTTCTGTCCAGATTGCCTGAGTGAATTTCTGGAGGTGTAGGCACCTCGGAATGATTGTGTTAAGCTAGCACTAAGTCCCTCCCCCATCCACCTTTATTCTTTTCTTTACAATAAGGCTTTCAAATAAGTCATGGCTGTACGGCAGTGAAGCATTGGTGTTGAGCACTGATGTCATGCTGTCGTTGATGAGGATGATTGGTCCGGCAAATTATTTAATGAAAGCAGTTCAGCATTACTGCGAGCTTTGCCTGGTCAATATTACGAGTGCGACCAGCTAAAACACGGTGTTGACTGGCGCTCAGTATTCGCACAGTGGAATTGAATTTTCGAAAGCTACGGCGTGTCCCTGACGGACTAAAGCGATCGGGAAATTGAGTTCAGAGTACGATTCCAATCTTTTGAGCCCCGTCTAGGCATCCCGGGATGTCAGCGATGCTAAGAAAGTATTCCACCAGACTTCTTCCGCCAGAGGCATAACTGCTTCAGTGGACAATGAAATTCGGTGAGCTGTAAAGATATGAACGTAGATTAGGATTGTTTTTTGGTTTGAGCACACACGCAACATTTTGGCGCAAAAACTTTCATTCCACTCGCGAAAGTTTTGCAGCTAGGAGCATTGTGCGGCTAATGGCCCCCACACCTATGGGTGCCGCAGTAGTCGATATGCTCAGTCCGTGCACGTGATTGGTCCGGCAAATTATCCAATGAAAGCAGTTCAGCATCACTACGATCTTTGATTACGAATGCGACCAGTTAAATAACGATGTTGACCAGCGCCCGTTAGCGCTAGTTCTTCCATGACCAAAGTGCTCGTACATTTTTTCGCGTGTTGTAATCAGCCATTACGTTTGGTATAGCTTTGGTCATTTTTTACTGAGCATGTGATGTTGGATCGGTAGTGGGTAGCTGAGACTTAACCGCATCAGGAGGATGGAATGCAATGATCTTTTTCACCAAATGTTGATCCGATTAGGAAACAAACTCAGAATTCGAAATTTACTGACTGAAGGATCTGACGTGAAGATACGAGGTGTGAACAATGGTCGCAACAATACTACGGGATCTCTGTGGTCCGATCGTAAGACAAACGGTGTATTCTGACCATTTCATTCTCATATATTACTTTGAATTGGTATCTGGACGCCATCTTGAGGGGTGCTCGACCGTTTGTATGGGCGTGGTTAATTGATCCCATAGACTGTCAGTCAGGTTGACCAGCCAACCTCCCCCAGGCAGCTCTGCTGGGAACTGCGTCCCCCTGAGGCAAGTGCTATAAACTACCGCGTCGTTTTGTTTATATATCCCACATACCCTTTACTCGTGGCTAAGCGCATGCCTCAGGGTTCTAGCGAACACCCAACCCACTCAACCCCCAGGCTAAAAGGACCTCAACTTTGACTAAGTTTCCAGAAGACCTAATAAGGGATTTCTAGGTGCCAGAACTTCCAAATAGTTCTCATGACTACTGCTCTTAGAGGATATGGTGTAGCAAACAAATGAACTAAAACAGATTTAGACTCATTGCTTTTTTGGGAGCTGGGTCATCGATAGTGATAAAAAAAATACTTAATCCAATGACCAGATGCAGTGAAGTAACTGAGACTTGACACCTGTACAGAAGAAACCAGTTTCCCAGGAAAGGTACTGTCTGGAGTTAGTCACTGGTGTGCACCTCGTAAGTTCCCACAACTATAACAGTAACTCACAAGCGGAGCTATCAGGGGTTGGGTACGAAACCACTTCTTTTCCTCTTCCTCCCCCGAAGTGAGACCAATCTCAAAGGTGGATGAATTATCTCTTATCTGCGATGACCGCTTTTCGTGCAATTGCACCGACGCTTATTGTTACGAGTAGATAAGGTAGTAGAACATATTAAAAGAGTAACACAACTGTTCTTACCTCGTCATCGTTTGGATTTCCTTATGTTACCTGCAGGTAGTGGACTGACTAGCTGACAATCTTGGTTTTGATCAGATTGAAAGCCTGTATGGCACTGTCACATGTCGCTTGTCATTATCATCAGCTGTAAAAACCGCGTACATGCCGTACGTGGCTCTCTAGCTGACACAGTTTCGTTCACGCCGTGTATGCAAAGACTCACCTAGCTTTGGTGGCCGGTCTGAAGCAGAAATGAAGAAACCCCCGTCATAATCGTCGCCATACACTTATTAGTGCACAGTGTATAGTGGCCATGATATAATTCAGAAGGAATATGCACTAATAAGTTTTTACTTAAGTTGACTGGTAAGATGCAACACGTATAAAAATAAATCCAATACGAAATGGGAACAATTCAAAAGAGGAACTTATCGTTTATGAGAGTTCCTTGGAGAAAGTCCTGATGGCGGGAACGTGTTTTTTCTCCGCAGAATAGCTGCTGCACGTGTTCCATAATTGTCCATGGACTTGTGGAGAGCGGTTGACTTCCTGCTCCCTGCGCGCGCGCGAGTCTGTGTGTGCTAACTGTGTTCGGTCTCCCTATATGTTGATCCGTTTGCATGTACGTGAGTTTGTCAGCACATGACTTGCTGCTACGCCTATCAGACGGTAGACAGTCTATGTCAGATGAGCTACCCTTGTATGTCGTGATTTATAAGTGTAAGGGAAAAAAACGAGTCCTGTGATCCAGGGAGCGACTATGAGCTGAACAGTCAAGTATGTGGGTGAAGAGATAGCTACACACTAACCGGAAGTATAGTGAAGCAATTTATGGGAGTTCATAAGCCAAGCAACCAGAGTACCTTAGTGAATTGTTTCACACTCCTCCACTTTTGTCGCGCCTGTTTATCCCCCATTTTTCTAGATGTTTCTTGGGCATCTGTCCAAACTAAACTTGTAAATTGCGGTGAATAATAAGCACCATTCCAGGGACTAAGTGTCTTGTTCGACGAAGGCGTGGATCGTCTTATAGGTCGGTCGCGTGGATGGATGTATCTTCTGAAGCGGCGTTACTGACTGATTGAGTAAGTTGTCACACGTACTGCGCCTCGAAGATGTGTGGACCATCATTTTCAATGCGCTTTCTAAGGAGCTCTTTCATGTTTCCCCTCGCATGACAACGAGAAATTCCTCCACATGTTGGCACTATGTCCAGACGCTGCTATCAGTACGTTGGACACATTCCCCTTTGATTCACTATGGCTTTCCGTCCTTCATCTCGAATCTAACTCTCTATGGTTTCTCCATTTCAGGCTTGACGCGACTGGAAGCAACCGTATCCCAACTGTGTCAGCTTTGTCGTTTTCTCACACTGGAGAACCAACAGTTACGAGTTTCAACGATGAACTTGCTCTTGCACCAAGGACGTGCTTTGCATTCGGTCGATCTGACCACGAGTGATGCGAATGCCCTGGCGTCTGGGGTATTGTCGGACACATCGTCTGTCTGCCCTACACCGGTCGGCTTTGCCTCTATACCATTTGCGAACATACCTTCATCAGGCAGCTACGCTGTTTCGGCAACCGCCGATCAGAAGGAATCTAACGTGCCAGCACAAAGTGACAACCTTCAGGTGCGCACGGCCGTTGCAAGTCCTTTCTGTCGATCGCTTTTCTGTAATAATGGTGGATAACTGATTGAGTAATTCATCAGGCAGATTGTTTCAGAATTCTGATAAACCGAACTTGCTAACCTCTGCTGAGGATCAATGGACAATTCTGGACAGTACCAGCTAGTTTTGTTTGATTTTTTTCTACCCAGCCTTGAAGATTTCGATTTCCGATTTTGGTCGCCATATGCTTACTTTGCTCCCGGTCGAGCTTTTCCTTGCCAGGTTTCCTTTCTCTTTAGATGGCTCTTATCTAGAAGGTACTCAGTGTGAACGATGGCCATGTGACCCCTTGGGGCTGTCGAACATTGATGAAGAGGTTTCTCTTCCCACTTTCGTCCTCAAATGGAAGTGTTTTTTCTTGGTCGCCGTAGCATCTTAAGGTTTTCATGAGCTGGCATTGCAGACTACAGCAAATTCGGGCCAGAATCTTGTACCGAATTCGAGTGAATCATTTTTGTTCGCAGTGTTTCCCTCGGAACTGGGACATTTAGATGCCCCGGGCTGTGTTTGTTAGCCTATTACTGTTTCGCAGCACTTTTCTGCTTCCTAGGGTACACCCTTTCTCACATAAACTGTCGTCACTGTACGGCATGGCAGCGCCATTACCCATCACTAATGTTGAGGATTCTGACATTCGGATGACCGCTAAAGAAGTTCCGTTCTAGCGAATATACACTCATTTGCAAACTAATTTGGTTCTTTCGAGAGACTCACCTGGAACCCAGCTGAATCTCTCGTTTGTGATGTTCTCAGGCAATTGAATGTGGTGCACCAGGCCGTCTCATGTTTCAGTCACTACGATATTCAAGATGTCGCCTGAAATATTGCCTGA